TGTTAAATTTTGGTAAATTTGGTAAAACTCGGAAATTCTTGACCCCTCGAAAAAGAAAACCTCTAGTACTCAATACGCTACTAGCTCCTTCTATGGGCTGCTCAAATTAATAGGTTCTGTGAAAATTGAGAAACTGCTTGAAAGTAATGCGATCCATGGATATTTGCATAGGTCGTCACTGAGTTCTAATTCGTCTGCGAGCTCTGCTGTTTTTACAGAGATTTATTGCGCTTGGCTGTTGCAGAAAAAGAATTTTTATTTTAATTTTAGGTGTATTGAAAATTTTGTACAGCACAGAACAATGAAACGAGCAAGGGATGTCCGCGACCAACTTGAGGGTCTGCTCGAAAGAGTTGAAATTGAACAGGTTTATTTGTAAATTTGCGATTTCCTGTATGTGTAGATTTTTGCAATTTTTTACCCATTTTGATCGTATCTTTAAGCTGCTTTTGACCAGGAATTTTATGCAATACAGGACGATGAACTACAGATAGTCTTTATGCATTAACATCATCGCACCTTTATTCGCTGGCGCAGTAGCATTGCGAGCTATATTAGTCTCGGCAATCATTTTTCCATCAAATTCGCTGTTATGGCTGTTGGTTACGCGCATTCACATTCAGTATGTATCTGTTAAGGTATCCAACAACGATTCAATAGCAATTCGGAAAGCAATCACTGCTGGATATTTTTATAACTGCGCAAAACTGGATAGTAGCGGACATTATAAGACGGTGAAAAATAAGCACACCGTTCACATTCATCCCAACTCGTCATTGTTCGAGGAGACCCCACGGTGGATGATTTACTTCGAGCTCGTTTTCACATCTAAGGAATTTATGCGTGAGGTAAAACCAAATTTTTAATTTTTTTTTCCACATAATTTTTTATGCGTTTTCCAAGCAACGCTGGAGCGCCACAGCAGGTCCCAAAACTTATATTGCGACGATCCTTTCTATGTGCGTGTGTGTTTTCCACTGCCCGAGCATTTCTACTTAACAGCCACGCAAGCTTTGATGCTGAAATTTTGCCAATTTGTTCCCAGGCCAGGTGGCACCCCAGGAACTGGGCATTAACTGTCACATGCGCTCACGTTTCATGCACGGGCACGTGAAAGTTTTGGCGGTAGATTGCTAGCCGTGGAACTTCAAAAGCTGGAAAGCTAGAATTCTGAAGGATTGTCCCTTAGTTATGTGCCACTAAAAAATTTCAAACTCAGCTCTTCTTTTGGGTTCTTTTTCGCGCACTAGCAGCTTCCCATTTGTCGGGCCATTGAAGTCGATATGTACAAACTGACGCATCACATAGCTGCATAATTAACTCCCTGAACTTCGAGAACCAGTATGTCACAAATTCTAGCTACTGGTATTCCTTATGATTCTGCTACAGCATAAAATAATGCAAAAACGCAAAATCCCACCGGCTCACTTGATTTCGATCAGAATTAACTTTTTCACCATGCCATCATTAAGCTCCCCGTAATCATAAGGTATATTCTTTCCGCTCGGGAGTTTCATTCGAACCTGTCTTTTTTGTTTTCTCATTA